TTGAGCCAAGTATTGAGATTTTTGACTAGGGGAGCCAAATATTCAGATTTCTGTCTAGGGGAGCCAAGTATACAGATTTCTGACTAAAGGAGCCAAAGTATACAGATTTCTGACTAAGGGAGTCAAGTATACAGATTTCTGACTAAGAGAGCCAAGTATAAAGATTTCTGACTAAAGGAGCCAAAGAAGCCAAGTATTCAGATTTCTAACTAAAGGAGCCAAGTATACATATTTCTGACTAAGGGAGCCAAGTATTCAGATTTCTGATTAAGGGAGCCAAGTATACAGATTTCTGACTAGGGCAACCAAGTATACAGATTTCTGACCAGGGGAGCCAAGTATTCAGATTTCTGACCAGGGGATCCAAGTGTACAGATTTCGGACTAAGAGAGCCAAGTATACATTTTTCTGACTGGTGAGCCAAATATACAGATTTCTGACTAGGGTAGCCAAGTGTACAGATTTCTGACTAAGAGAGCCAAGTATAAAGATTTCTGACTGGGGGAGCCAAGTATTCAGATTTCTGATTAAGGGAGCCAAGTATACAGATTTCTGACTAGGGGAGCCAAGTATACAGATTTCTGACTAGGGCAACCAAGTATACAGATTTCTGACTAAGGGAGCAGAGTATACAGATTTCTGACTAGGGGAGCCAAGTATACAGATTTCTGACTAGGGCAACCAAGTATACAGATTTCTGACTAAGGGAGCCAAGTATACAGATTTCTGACTAAGGGAGCCAAGTAAACAGATTTCTGACTAGAGGAGCCAAGTAAACAGATTTCTGACTAGGGGAGCCAAGTATACAAATTTCTGACTAAGGGAGTCAAGTATTCAGATTTCTGACTAGGGGAGCCAAGTATACAGATTTCTGACTAAGGGAGTCAAGTATTCAGATTTCTGTCTAGGGGAGCCAAGTATACAGATTTCTGACTAAAGGAGCCAAGTATACATTTTTCTGACTAGGTGAGCCAAGTATTCAATATTCTGACTAAGGGAGCCAAGTAAACAGATTTCTGACTAGGGGAGCCAAGTATACAGATTTCAGACTAGGTGAGCCAAGCATACATTTTTCTGACTAGGTGAGCCAAGTATACAGATTTCTGACTAAGAGAGCCAAGTATACATTTTTCTGACTGGTGAGCCAAATATACAGATTTCTGACTAGGGGAGCCAAGCATACAGATTTCTGACTAAGAGAGCCAAGTATACATTTTTCTGACTAGGTGAGCCAAGTATACAGATTTCTGACTAAGAGAACCAAGTATACAGATTTCTGACTAAGGGAGCCATGTAAACAGATTTCTGACTAAGGGAGCCAAAGTATACATATTTCTGACAAGGGGAGCCAAGTATACATATTTCTGACTAAGGGAGCCAAAGTATACAGATTTCTGAATAAGGGAACCATGTATACAGATTTCTGACTAGGGGAGCCAAGTATACATATTTTTGACTAGGGGAGCAAAGTATACAGATTTATGACTAAAGGAGCCAAAGTATACAGATTTCTGACTAGGGGAGTCAAGTATACAGATTTCTGACAAGGGGAGCCAAGTATTCAGATTGCTGACCAGGGGAGCCAAGTATTCAGTATTCTAACTAGGGGATCCAAGCATACAGATTTCTGACTAGGGGATCCAAGTATTCAGATTTCTGACTAGGGGAGCCAAGTATTCAGATTTCTGACTAGGGGAGCCAAGTATTGAGATTTTTGACTAGGGGAGACAAATATTCAGATTTCTGTCTAGGGGAGCCAAGTATACAGTTTTCTGACTAAAGGAGCCAAAGTATACAGATTTCTGACAAAGGGAGTCAAGTATACAGATTTTTGACTAAGAGAGCCAAGTATACAGATTTCTGACTAAAGGAGCCAAAGTATACAGATTTCTGACTAAGGGAGCCAAGTATTCAGTATTCTGACTAGGGGAGCCACGTATACAGATATCTGACTAAGAGAACCAAGTATACAGATTTCTGACAGGGGAGTCAAGTATACAGATTTCTGACTAGGGGAGCCAAGTATACAGATTTCTGACTAAGGGAGCCAAAGTATACAGATTTCTGACTAGGGGAACCAAGTATTCAGATTTCTGACTAAGAGAGCCAAGTATACAGATTTCTGACTAAGGGAGCCAAAGTATACAGATTTCTGACTAGGGGAGCCAAGTATTCAGATTTCTAACTAGGTGAGCCAAGTATACATATTTCTGACTAAGGGAGCCAAAGTATACAGATTTCTGAATAAGGGAACCATGTATACAGATTTCTGACTAGGGGAGCCAAGTATACATATTTCTGACTAGGGGAGCCAAGTATACAGATTTATGACTAAAGGAGCCAAAGTATACAGATTTCTGACCAGGGGAGTCAAGTATACAGATTTCTGACTAGGGGAGCCAAGTATTCAGATTTCTGACTAGGGGAGCCAAGTATTCAGTATTCTGACTAGGGGATCCAAGTATACAGATTTCTGACTAGGGGATCCAAGTATTCAGATTTCTGACTAGGGGAGCCAAGTATTCAGATTTCTGACTAGGGGAGCCAAGTATTGAGATTTTTGACTAGGGGAGCCAAATATTCAGATTTCTATCTAGGGGAGCCAAGTATACAGATTTCTGACTAAAGGAGCCAAAGTATACAGATTTCTGACTAAGAGAGCCAAGTATACAGATTTATGACTAAAGGAGCCAAAGTAGCCAAGTATTCAGATTTCTGACTATGGGAGTCAAGTATACAGATTTCTGACTAAAGGAGCCAAAGTATACAGATTTCTGACTAAGGGAGCCAAGTATGCAGAATTCTGATTAGGGGAGCCAAGTGTTTAGATTTCTGACTATGGGAGTCAAGTATACAGATTTCTGACAAGGGGAGCCAAGTATACAGATTTCTGACTAGGGGAGCAAAGTATACAGATTTCTAACTAAGAGAGCCAAGTATACAGATTTCTGACTAGGGGAGCCAAGTGTTCAGATTTCTGACTAAAGGAGCCAAGTATACATATTTCTGACTAAAGGAGCCAAAGTATACAGATTTCTGACTCGGGGGATTTCTGACTAGGGGAGCCAAGTATACAGATTTCTGACTAGGGGAGCCAAGTATACAGTTTTCTGACTAAGGGAGCCAAGTATACAGATTTCTGACTAGGGGAGCCAAGTATACAGATTTTAAGTCAGATCATACAGCATTAATTGAAAGTTAATTATCGAAGATAACTGTCAGGTTGGAGCTACTTTGACCGATAAAACTGTCAGTATACCCCCTTTATATACCCCCCTATGATACTCCCTTCACAGCAAACGTGCATATTGTGTCAATTGTTTTCCATTGATACAATATTGGTATATCCTTGTTATTTCACTAACAGTGATTTCCGAAAGTCCCTGATGGACTTGCTTCCCAGGTTGTTTGATCTGGATTAATGGTATTCCACTGTAAATTAACCACCTAGGAGACCGATCAGTTGATACGTCAGTGGCCGATGTGGCCGAGTGGGCAAGGTGTCTGACCGCCTACGATCACAAGCCCTCCACCACCCAGTCGCACGTTCGGGGCCTATGTGGGGCAGCCGCGTGGTACTGACAACAGGTCGGTGTTTTTCCTCGTCAACCAAGGCCTGGCACGTCCTTACCAACAAATAAAATCAAACCAATTATTTATGTTAGTATACAGCAACAAAAATATGTGAATACGTCGTAAGTTTGAACTGTTTTCATGTTACCATGGCAGACTGTAGCTAACCTGATCCGTTTTGAGTACCCCTGGGTTCAGGAATTGGTTGACTTGGTTCTTGAGGCCGAGAAGGACAGCACCCTGTTTGGCCGATATAGTGTGAGGGATATCGCCTGGGGTTACGAGGATCCCCTACTGAAGGCAGCAAAGGATATTCTCAAACGATACAACCAGACCATAGTCGACACAATCGGACTATTTTATGGGGTAAATTATTTTACAAATGTTTGTGTCTCGCTTGCTGATAATCGATAAACAGGACGACTCGTTCTTCCTCTTAGAGTGTTCTATCAATAACACAACTCCTTACGGCCAATCACGAGTGAGCGGGGATCCTGTAGTCCAATATCACATAACACAACTCCTTACGGCCAATCACGAGTAAGCGGGGACCTTGTAGTCCAATATCGCATAACACAACTCCTTAAGGCCAATCACGACAGAGTGGGGACCCTGTAGTCCAATATCACATAACACAACTCCTTACGGCCAATCACGAGTGAGCGGGGACCCTGTAGTTCAATATCACATAACACAACTCCTTACGGCCAATCACGACTGAGCGGGGACCCTGTAGTCCAATATCACATAACACAACTCCTAACGGTCAATCACGACTGAGCGGGGACCCTGTAGTCCAATATCACTGGTTTCTTATATATATAGAAACAAAACAAGGCACTTATATTTACAAAAAGGCAACTTGTCTCGTTTAAGCACAGACATCCGGTTCCTGATATTAATATATCAGTGTCCTAACGCATAATGGTTTTGTCTGTTTACATTATTGCTACCGTAACTTGTAAAAAATAAGATTTATAAATGAGAAAAAAAAATAAACTTTCGATTCATGTGTTTCAGACCAACAACACTGATGACGGTCTATATAACATATACACAGGAAAAGATGACGTCAGCAAGCTGGCCATCATCAATACATGGAATGGAATGAAGTAATGCATGCTTATTTTTTTACTATAAATGCTAAGCGATTCTGATAAGTATGAACATATTGTTTTGTAAGGGATATTTGTTTTGAGCAGAAGGTTTATACTTCCCCTACACCACATGTAATACATATATGAATTGTAAACGACAGTGTTTGGGCTATAAATTAGTAGGACTCCTGAATAAAACCCATCATATAATGTCCAAAGGTATTACTTATAGTATTGAGCAATGTCTTTGATATATTGCAGAATGTGTCGTACGGGATGGGATAGAACACTTGGTTAGTTAAGATTACAGCCTATGTTGTCGAATCCCGAAAATGTTAGATGCAACGAAAGACCCGTCATTGCATAAATAGATTGCTGATAAACTCCTTGTTAATATGAATACGATGGGTCAAGTCTAATAGATTACTAGTATCTTATACAGAACATGATTTTGTGAGTAAATCTAATTTGTCCTTCACTTCTGTATAAAGATGGATATTTTTGAGGGGCAAATTTTGAAATCTACACAATGAGCAAATATGCATGGATCGTTTCGAAACTCACAAGCAGCTAGGAAAAGTTCACAGAGAAACATATGACCATTATTGATCATATTACTTGACCATCATGAAATAAAGACAAATAATTTGTGCTTACATAGTTGCCTAGTTATTTGGATATAGCTTTTCTATTATTACTGTCACTAATGTACACTTTTAATGAGCATTAAGTGTACTTACTTAAGAAACATCTTAATTATTTTACATGAAAACATTTACGCTCCTTTTGTCATGTTTGATTGCCTAGTTAAAATGCTATTGTAGAAAATGACTCAAGGAAGGTTCAAATTGGCAGTTTAGAAGTAATTTTTCTTGATGCATATTGAATGGTAAAAAAGTAATAACTTGGGACAGGTATATCGTATTCAACATGCTTAAACTATTTTCAATAGTCTGGTTCCTGACTTTTATCCCCAAATGCCACTCAACATTTAGACTTATACAACTGAGGTAGTGTAACGCTAGTGTTTACTGACGACAGCAAACACTCGAGGGGGATCATTGTATAATGCTGCAAAAATCTAAATATTACGTCAAGCGTAAAAGTGTTTTTATTTATCACAAAGATAAATCAATGTTACACTTAGATATAGACAGAGACTTTAATCGGAATACCGCCGATATAATATAGCAGTAGACACATGGAAGGAACAACAGAGACTCGTCGTGTTATAAAAATTGTATTAGATCAGTGTTGATCTTTAATTGACTCAAAATGAATTATGTCTAGCGCAGAGAAGGAACTCATCTGCCAGGGGTTCCCAGATAGTCGCCTCATATTATCATGAAGTTGAGTAGAACAGAACAATTATTTTCTTCCAGTCCTGCGAGAGTTAATCGACACAGAAATACACTGTATTGTGATCCTTATCATGTAAGAGTGCAACACAAAAAGTAGTTATCTCCCCCTGCAGCAGGTTTGGACTATTAGGAACTACGACCTTTCACATTCAGCTCAACAATCAGAAACAAGCATAATGTTGGGACAAGTTTCGTAGAGCTAACTAATGGACACAATAAAGACCAAAATTGTATTTCATTAAGAAAAAATGAGTGATTACTATTATATTCCTTTTCGTTTGATATGCGCGGTATGTTGATTTCAGGAAGCTCCCCTACTGGACAACAGACACGAGCAGAATGATCAATGGAACAGGTAAACATTGGTCTGGATTGTCTTCCTAGGATTTGTATAATATCAGATCTCACCATTCACTTTGCAGTTAAGCATACAGCTTGTCTGGTTTGTGATGTGGTAGGAGGTTTGTACCAACAGATACATTGCAACATCGATTTCTCCGATTGAAAAAATAATACAGAAGAGATTAAATTCAGATATGGACGGAAGAAGGTATGTCATACTGCAATCTGACGTCAAAAACATTGTGACAAAACACCGCGACACACCCACATAGCAAGCCGTTTTTATATTTTATACAAAATATAATCAATAAATCTACTAAAGTTACTGTGTATGTTTACAGTCACACACAAATAGAATTATCCAGAGGGACTTTGATTCCAGTAACCTCAGGAAACAATAGATCAATTGAGTTTCCTATTACAACAAGTTGGTCATGCGCATTAAACATGATGACGTCATGCTATACATCTATTCCTCTCTACAAATGGGAACCGTCGGCACTTCTCTACCTTTTCATTTACGGAAAGTGTCGACGGTTCCCGATTGTTTTTTCTCTAATGCAGTTTCATATGAATAACGTTTAATTTTTTACAGACGGCACGTTTTTCCCACCTTTTGTGAAAAAATCTTGGACGATGTATGTTTATTCTACAGATATCTGCAGGTAAGGATAGGGAACCAAAGCTGAATGCTAACACGCCTTAAATCTTTATATATAAACTGCAGATCTCTTCAACTACAAATATCACTTCTGTCTTTGTACTATAATGTACAAATATCCAATATCTCTATGTTAACTTATACTGCCTATCTTTATATATACTGCAGATCTCTTCAACCACAGATATAGCCCGACCTCTCTTTATTTACTTCATGCATCGCATATCTATATGTTAACTACAATAGATAATCTTTTATCTATATTTAACACAATACTGCAGGAATGTTTATATCAACCATCATAGGTCTATATACCTAGACTACAAGGAGACGAAGATGTTAAGAGGAGTAGACGTCTATAGGTTTGTTACAACGGACCGTCTCTTCTCCCACATCCCAGACAACTATGGCTTCTGTACTCCAACCCAAACCAATTGTTTACCTGCAGGTCTCCTCAACGTCAGTAACTGCAAACCAGGCAAGTTCTTTCTTAAAAGGCCATTTCGGCAAAGGAACTTCCAAATATATTTTTTCTACCATCCCTGTTTTTCAACATCAGCAGATTGTTGGAAACAGACCATTAAGCGATTACGGTAAATTATGGAACAACTAATTAGGCGTCACTGTTCATGCATCTTTGGTATAAAAAGTAAGATTGGTATGGAAGGAACATCAGGAGGCGGACAGAACCCACTGACAAATTGTCTGTCACCAGATATCCTGAATGTCTGCTGTTAAAAAAAGCAAAAGAGGTCAGCTTGTAATTGATAGGATACCACGAAAGTCACCAGCAAAACGAAATCTTAGTTAATTACTCACCTTTAGCTCTACGCATTGTCAGTCACTGCAAAGCAAGGTAAAATGTGTTGCAGAGACATTTCCGGTAGGCCATATTATCTACTGCCAGAGCCCCGCAATGTCAATGTAGGTTTTGTTTTAAATTACACGCAAACCTCGTTTGATTATAAAAAGTTTCACTTTGTTAAACATTTTTGCGTCGATGTACTTTCAGAGTTTGCCCCGATAGTGGGTTCCCTGCCTCATTTCTACACGGCTGATCCGTCCATACAACAGGCCGTTAGGGGACTCAACCCTAACCCGGACGAACATCAGACCAGCATAGACGTAGAACCGGTAAATTTCAACATCTCTTAACATAATCTTGTTATCAAGACTCCAATAATCGATATAACTCACTTTACCAGAAAGTAAGATCAGATATAACACACCGAAATATATATTATTTAATTAATTCATCTTTTTTCTCATACCTTTGGGGTTTTATTATTTTGCCTAGCACAGCTGATGCGATTTTATCAATAACAGCTTGAGCATATGGTACAATAAAGTTGGTATATTTGATTTTCTAATTAAAATGGCTACTTCTGTTCCTGAAGACCGCAAAATTCGGCAAACAGAAATTGTTTTAAAAGTATAAATGCAAAACGGGGGGTTTAGGAAAATGAAAGTTTGGTAGAAATCGGTGGAAATCGACAGCTCGGGGGATTTATTTCTGTTGTAATTTCTCTTTACTGAAGCAAGGTTTTGATCAATTTGTCAACAGAACACGGGTATCGCTATGAATGTGGACAAGAGGCTTCAAGTCAATGTTTTCATACAAAATATAAGTCACATCAAGTGAGTACCAAAGTCGTCATACAGAATAAATGTAACAGCAAGTGAGTAACAAAGTCATCATACAGAATAAAAGTAACACCAAGTAAGTGAGCACCAAAGTCATCATACAGAATAAAAGTAACACCAAGTGAGTACCAAAGTCGTCATACAGAACAAAAGTAACACCAAGTGAGTACCAAAGTCGTCATATAGAATTAAAGTAACACCAAGTGAGTACCAAAGTCGTCATACAATATAAAAGTAACATCAAGTGAGTACCAAAGTCGTCATACAGAATAAAAGTAACACCAAGTGAGTAACAAAGTCGTCATACAGAATACAAGTAACACCAAGTGAGTACCAAAGTCGTCATACAATATAAAAGTAACATCAAGTGAGTACCAAAGTCGTCATACAGAAAAAAAGTAACACCAAGTGAGTACCAAAGTCGTCATACAGAATAAAATAACACAAAGTGAGCACCAAAGTCGTCATACAATATAAAAGTAACATCAAGTGAGTACCAAAGTCGTCATATAGAATAAAAGTAACACAAAGTGAGTACCAAAGTCGTCATACAATATACAAGTAACAACAAGTGAGTACCAAAGTCATCATACAGAATAAAAGTAACACAAAGTGAGTACCAAAGTCATCATATAGAATACAAGTAACAACAAGTAAGTACCAAAGTCGTCATACCGAAAAAAAGTAACACAAAGTGAGTACCAAAGTCGTCATATAGAATAAAAGTAACACAAAGTGAGTACCAAAGTCGTCATACAGAATAAAAATAACGACAAGTGAGTACCAAAGTCATCATATAAAATACAAGTAACACCAAGTGAGTACCAAATTCATCATACCGAATAAAAGTAACATCAAGCGAGCACCAAAGTCGTCATACAATATAAAAGTAACATTAAGTGAGTACCAAAGACGTCATATAGAATAAAAATAACATCAAGTGAGTACCAAAGTGTTCATACAGAATACAAGTAACAACAAGTGAGTACCAAAGTCGTCATGCCGATTAAAAGTAACACAAAGTGAATACCAAAGTCGTCATACAGAATAAAAGTAACATAAAGTGAGTACCAAAGTCGTCATACAGAATAAAAATAACGACAAGTGAGTACCAAAGTCGTCGTACAGAATAAAAGTTACACAAAGTGAGTACCAAAGTGATCATACAGAATACAAGTAACAACAAGTGAGTACCAAAGTCATCATACAGAATAAAAGTAACACCAAGTGAGTACCAAAGTCGTCATACAGAATAAAAATAACGACAAGTGATTACCAAAGTCATCATATAAAATACAAGTAACACCAAGTGAGTACCAAAGTCGTCATACAATATAAAAGTAACATTAAGTGAGTACCAAAGACGTCATATAGAATAAAAATAACATCAAGTGAGTACCAAAGTCGTCATACCGAATAAAAGTTAAACAAAGTGAGTACCAAAGTGTTCATACAGAATACAAGTAACAACAAGTGAGTACCAAAGTCGTCATGCCGAATAAAAGTAACACAAAGTGAATACCAAAGTCATCATATAGAAAACAAGTAACAACAAGTGAGTACCAAAGTCATCATACAGGATAAAAGTACGAACAAGTGAGTACCAAAGTCATCATACAGAATAAAAGTAACACCAAGTGAGTACCAAAGTCATCATATAGAATACAAGTAACAATAAGTGAGTACCAAAGTCGTCATGCCGAATAAAAGTAACACAAAGTGAATACCAAAGTCATCATATAGAAAACAAGTAACAACAAGTGAGTACCAAAGTCATCATACAGAATAAAAGTAACACAAAGTGAGCACCAAAGTCGTCATACAGAATAAAAATAACGACAAGTGAGTACCAAAGTCGTCGTACAGAATAAAAGTAACACAAAGTGAGTACCAAAGTCATCATATAGAAAACAAGTAACAACAAGTGAGTACCAAAGTCGTCATGCCGAATAAAAGTAACACAAAGTGAATACCAAAGTCGTCATACAGAATAAAAGTAACACAAAGTGAGTACTAAAGTCGTCATACAGAATAAAAATAACGACAAGTGAGTACCAAAGTCATCATATAAAATACAAGTACAAACAAGTGAGTACCAAAGTCGTCATACATATAAAAGTAACACGAAGTGAGTACCAAAGTCGTCATACAGAATAAATATAACGACAAGTGAGTACCAAAGTTATCATATAAAATACAAGTAACACCAAGTGAGTACCAAATTCATCATACCGAATAAAAGTAACATCAAGCGAGCACCAAAGTCGTCATACAATATAAAAGTTACATTAAGTGAGTACCAAAGACGTCATATAGAATAAAAATAACATCAAGTGAGTACCAAAGTCATCATTCAGAACATAAGTAACATCAAGTGAGCACAAAAGCCGTCATAAAGAATAAAAGTAACACAATGTGAGTACCAAAGTCATCAAATAGAATACAAGTAACAACAAGTGAGTACCGAAGTCGTCATACCGAATAAAAGTTACACAAAGTGAGTACCAAAGTGTTCATACAGAAAACAAGTAACAACAAGTGAGTATCAAAGTCATCATATAGAATACAAGTAACAACAAGTGAGTACCAAAGTCATCATATGGAATACAAGTAACAACAAGTGAGTACCGAAGTCGTCATACCGAATAAAAGTTACACAAAGGGAGTACCAAAGTGTTCATACAGAAAAGAAGTAACAACAAGTGAGTATCAAAGTCATCATATAGAATACAAGTAACAATAAGTGAGTACCAAAGTCGTCATGCCGAATAAAAGTAACACAAAGTGAGGACCAAAGTCGTCATACAGAATAAAATTAACACAAAGTGAGTACCAAAGTCGTCGTACAGAATAAAAGTTAAACAAAGTGAGTACCAAAGTGTTCATACAAAATACAAGTAACAACAAGTGAGTACCGAAGTCGTCATACCGAATAAAACTTACACAAAGTGAGTACCAAAGTGTTCATACAAAATACAAGTAACAACAAGTGAGTACCAAAGTCGTCATACCGAATAAAAGTTACACAAAGGGAGTACCAAAGTGTTCATACAGAAAACAAGTAACAACAAGTGAGAATCAAAGTCATCATATAGAATACAAGTAACAACAAGTGAGTACCGAAGGCGTCATACCGAATAAAAGTTACACAAAGTGAGTCCCAAAGTGTTCATACAGAATACAGGTAACAACAAGTGAGTACCGAAGTCGTCATACCGAATAGAAGTTACACAAAGTGAGTACCAAAGTGTTCATACAAAATACAAGTAACAACAAGTGAGTACCGAAGTCGTCATACCGAATAGAAGTTACACAAAGTGAGTACCAAAGTGTTCATACAAAATACAAGTAACAACAAGTGAGTACCGAAGTCGTCATACCGAATAAAAGTTACACAAAGGGAGTACCAAAGTGTTCATACAGAAAACAAGTAACAACAAGTGAGTACATACAGAATAAAAGTAACACAAAGGGAGTACCAAAGTCGTCATACAGAATAAAAATAACGACAAGTGAGTACCAAAGTCGTCGTACAGAATAAAAGTAGCACAAAGTGAGTACCAAAGTCATCATATAGAAAACAAGTAACAACAAGTGAGTACCAAAGTCGTCATACCGAATAAAAGTAACACAAAGTGAATACCAAAGTCGTCATACAGAATAAAAGTAACACAAAGTGAGTACCAAAGTCGTCATACAGAATAAAAATAACGACAAGTGAGTACCAAAGTCATCATATAAAATACAAGTAACAACAAGTGAGTACCAAAGTCGTCATACAGATAAAAGTAACACGAAGTGAGTACCAAAGTCGTCATACAGAATAAAAATAACGACAAGTGAGTACCAAAGTCATCATATAAAATACATGTAACAACAAGTGAGTACCAAAGTCGCCATACCGAATAAAAGTAACATCAAGCGAGCACCAAAGTCATCATACAGAATAAAAGTAACTCAAAGTGAGTACCAAAATCATCATATAGAATAAAAAGAACATAAAGCGAGCACCAAATTGTTCATACACAATAAAATTAACGCCAAGTGAGTACTTAAGTGTTCATACAATATAAAAGTAACATTAAGTGAGTACCAAAGTCATCATATAGAATAAAAATAACATCAAGTGAGCACCAAAGGCGTCATACAGAATAAAAGTAACACAATGTGAGTACCAAATTCATCATATAGAATAAAGATAATATCAAGTGAGTACCAAAGTCATCATACAGGATAAAAGTACGAACAAGTGAGTACCAAAGTCATCATACAGGATAAAAGTAACACAAAGTGAGTACCAAAGTCGTCGTACAGAATAAAAGTAACAACAAGTGAGTACCAAAGTCGTCATACACAATAAAAGTAACATCACGTGAGTACCAAAGTCGTCATACATAATAAAAGTAACACAAAGTGAGTACAAAAGTCGTCATACAGAATAAAAGTAACAACAAGTGAGTATCGAAGTCGT